CTAGGCGAGTGGCTCCAGCAGATCCCGGGAACAACATCGGAGATCTCTGTCCAGAAGAGCGCCGTGCTAACAGGAACAGCTGACAGCTATGTGTGTGTGTTTGAGTAAAACAGCAGCTCCAGACTGTTCAAAAGGATTTGTTTAAAATGAATGAACAGCAGGAATCAGGATCAGTAGGTGAAGTCAAAATGAGCTAAGTCCATTTCTAGATGCCACAGAGCCACGTACAGCCAGAGCGATCACGCCTGCACCACCCACGACTCCGAGTGCTGCTTTCTCCACCTGCAGGAGGAAAAACGTCTTTTAGTTTTTCTGCAGGAACATTATGAGCAGATTGTTGTCATCAGTCACCACTGAAAGTTTCAGCAACTCTGAGATATCAGTAAAAACACATGAACATGTACACGAGCATTGTCAGCTGTTGTCATGCCGATCGTTTTCATGGTGCATTACTATGATTATGGGAATTTCTATTTCTTTAAATTATTATGAATCAATAATTCTGGTCACCAGTCAGAAACTTTTTATTCAAAATTGCCGAAACAGCTGAAATCTGAGTGGCAGCTCCTCACAGCTCTGCTGGTTATCAGCTTATAACTGCAGTAAATCCATTTCTCTGTGTGCTTCACCCTCATGTGTCTAAATATTATAACTAACTGCCGTCAGTGTCATGTATGATCTGGTTTATGTTGACAGAATATCACACACCGCAATGATTGTGTTATTGGTTTTGTCACTTGTCCTAATAATGAAATAAAAAGCTGCTTCTTCCATGAGCAGCAGACTAACATCGGTGCCTTTTTATTTCATTGTTTCACAGCAGCTCCATAAAGATGGTTTAACCCACCTGCAGTGATTCGGCCACACCGTACCGCAGCTCTTTGACAAAGTGCTCACAGTTAAATGAGACAAGGTTGTATCGCAGCTCTTTGCCCACCATTGCTTTAGCATCCTTCACAATAGCATTAGCTGGGCGTGGCTCATATTGGCTGTCCATGCTGTTGTTGATTTTCCAGTCGTCTTTTCCCACCACATCCCAGATCTTCTCCTTCCGCACAGTGCCGTTTGCAGTGTGGACAGACGTGCCAGCTTTCAGGACGACACAGAGGGAAATAAAAACGGCTTATAAAGAGTTTCTGAATGCAAACCTATTCATTTCTGGTAAGTGGATCATTAACAGTCTAGTACAAACATATTGTTTGTGGTCTGAAAACTACACTGAATGAATGTGGGCTGTTAGATCAGCTGATAGCAGGTCAGGACTGAAACTTACAGTGATTTACAAAGTGAACAACAAAGCCAGCACCAACGTATACAGCCCAGTGCTCATAGTTGTCACGGAAGATCTCAATCAAGTCCCCGAGCTCAGGCTCCCTGTCGTCCTGGGATTAGAAAAAAAGAAAACAAATTAAATGCAATTAAATAAATAAATAATTTTTAAAACCAGTCTCAGTAACATGTCACAGCCTTCATGTCTGACTGGTCTGGACTGGTCTACTTACCTGATCCCCTCCAGTATCTGCAAAAACAAAAAAACATTTTAGTACAGATCATCAGAAAGAGAGAAAAGCTTTGCTTCTTATTTTATTGGATTAATTGAACCATATTTTGGCATAAAGTCGTTTCCTCTGTCTTTTTCAGAAATCATGAAAGTAAATTGTGGCAAATGAGAAATGACAACATCCTGAGAAAACTAAGAAACAGTTACAGACTCACAAGACGACGATGATGATCCCATGATGTCTCCGAACTTAGAAACAAACGATGAACTGAACTGTTTGATGAACCTGGTGAAACAAAGAACATTTTGAGTTTAACTGGAACACTTTTACACACATTCACACACAAAAACACAATTTAGGGCAGAGATAGCTCAGTACGTAGCGTGGTCGCACCATGATTGGAAGGTTGGGGGTTCGAATCCACTGAAAGGCTACTCTGAGGTACCTCTGAGCAAGCTACCGTCCCTACACACTGCTGCCCGGGTGCTACCTCGGTGGCTGCCCTCTGCTTCACTGAGTGAATGGGTCAGAGGACTAATTTCCCTACAGGGATTAATGAAGTATACGTTACACACACTTCATTAGCATCCCTGTCAGTGGAAACATCTCAAATGTCTGCTTCATCACACTGTGATTTAAGGACAAATAAATCAGTGTGGGCTTCATTTATTCACCAGCTGAAATTCTGAAGTCAAAACTGATGCATTCAAGAATGAAACAGGAAGTTAATAATTCTAAAGTTTAAAAAAGGAAAGAAAGTTTTCCCTCCCACAGAACAAAGTTTTCTCACTCAAGAACCACTGAGAGCAAAATAAGAAGACGAGTAGCTGATGAAGCTGGAGCGACATGCAGAGATGGAGATATGAGAATGAAATATTGGTGTCTGCTCCTGAACTCCACTAATGTCCACTATCAAAAAAGCTTATTAAGACTCAACGTAAATCTTTCTAAAAGCATTTATCATCACTTTAAAACTCCTGAAAATAAACACACGTTTACTGTGTTTTATAATAACTTTTATGAGTTATCATGTTCCTGGTAATGTTTTATATTTAAATCTTATAACTTTGACTTGAAACTTGAAAGTTGTTGATCTGAAGTAAAACCAAATATTGACTGAAGCTGTGTTTGTGTGATGTGCAGAGAGAAGTCTGAGCTTCACTCACCTGCTGAAGTCAGTGCTGCAGAGAGAAGTGCTGTGAGTCCTCAGGGTGAAGCGCTATATATACACATGGACCAGCCCATCATCACAGGCAGTGTAAAAGTGAAATTAAAAGTTTGCAGCAGAACAAAACTGAAAGACATACCTGTGTACTTAATGTGTTTCTCATGTTTTCCTTATGAGCAACTCATGCAGCATCCACACAGTGAACCTTTATTTTGTTATGCATCGTTGTTAACTTTGATAAAACATACAATAAACATCTTTCATCAATCACTATTTTTTATTTCTAATGTGAATTTCTACTCACATTAATCCAACATTCCTTACTTTTAACTGCTGGACATTTGTGGGTGATTTTCATCTTTAAAGAAATCTTCCCATGTTTCAGTAATGGGATTTATATCAATGGTTATTTACTTCACCTGCTGTGAGTCTAGTTTATTGTGTTTGGTGATGTAAATGTTTGTATAGGTGGATGAAATGCTGGTTTACTGTGGCCAAAGAACAGATATTGTTATAATGGTGACTGTGAGCCATGAGATTCACTCTGTGGTGCTTCAGTTGTCATGTTCCTGAGGTTGTTCATGCCCTTTGTGACAGTGTATCAACATCTGCCATGCTGGTCATCATTGGAGGTGGTTGATGAGTTTGTGTTGTTCATAAATCCTGCAGTCAGAGCTGTAAACAAGCTTGTGTGCCTCTTTATTTTAATGCACAGTTGCAGCATTTAGGATCGCACCCCTCCCAGGCACCCACCAGGTCGGCGGGGCCAACATCTATATTTGCTTTCGGTTTTGAAAAGGAAAAATGAAACTGGATACACAATCTGCTCTGTTTATTTTTGGACAGTGTCAGAGTCGCTGTAAAAGCATGTGATCATACAGCAGTTCACAAGTGGGGAAAAAACACAGTAAGAATAGTTTCACTTCCAGTTTTCCATGAGTGACGAGGACCCACGGAAAGGAAAAGAAGGAAGAATGAAGTGCAGTGCCAGAAGTGATTGCAGCAGGTTTGAAGTTGTGTTTTAAAAGAATTCCAAACAAACTGAAGCAAAGTACAAATCACAACTTACAGTTTGTCTTGATGCGTGCTCAATCATCAAGGTAAGGAAATCTCAAAAAGCTGATTCTGTTCAGAACAGATTGAACTTTTTGGGATTTGCCTCACAAACTTTGTTTAAATTTCCCTAAAACAATTCAAAAAAAGAAAAAGGTCATGTGACTGTTAATGTTAGTCCATATAGTTTCTCCAATAACTAATAAAAAAAGTAACATTTATAAAAGACACTTAAAACTGTAACATTAAAGTGGTATACAATGAAAGACAAATGTTATATACAAAGCTTTCTTTTAATGAAAGTTTTTTTTTTTACTTACTCCAATAAACAAAAATTTCCAAATACACTGGAGAAAAAAAAGGATGTAAATACAACTACATGACTTACTGTTACTGTGTTACAGAGAGCTATAGATACTGGTGGGTGGGTGCTAACCAGCTGTAACACGGGTGAATAAAATATTTGTTGTTAACATTAGGATAGACGATCAACAGATTGTGCACTTCTTGATCTTTATGACATGTATGTTATAAAAATCATCTATTTCTTTTTGTTGTTGTTCCTTCAGTTTTTTAATTTCTTCTTCTCTTGCCTTTTTATCATCCTTTTCTCCTTTTAGTTCTTCATCTTTTTTCTCCAAATCACCTCTGAGTGTGGTTTCTTTGCGTTTTGACAGCTCTTCTAAGAGCCTGTACTGTTCGCTGTGTTCTTTATCTTTCTGCTGCATTTCTGTTTCTTTCTCTTGTACCTCTGTTTCATGCTGTTGCATTAAATCCTTCAGTTCTGTAGTATGTTTTAACATCAGAGCTTGAAGGTCTTTGTTGTATTTTTCTTTGAAGTCATTGAACTCTTCAGCTTGTTTTCTTGCCTCCTCCTCATAACTCTTTTTCATGTCTTCCATTTTTTGCTTATAGTTATCCTCCAGTTCTTTTCGTTCCTTCTCTTCTTGTGCACTTCTCTTTCGATCTTCTTCCTTTCGTTGATGGTCATATTTTCTTTTTTCCTCTTCATACTC